GAAGCTCCCGTCTGCTTCCCCCCTGAGTCTCTAGGAACTGATATCAAAGGGTGCATTCACACTGCAGAATTAAAGCAGTTTGATTGCCATGACACTGTCCTACAGAATCCTGGAATCTGTAATTTGGTGAGGCATCAGAGCTCTTTGACAGACCAGGCTGAAAACCTTACCAAACTACAAATCCCTGGATTCTGTAGGATAGTCATAGCAGTTAGTCAAACTACTTTAATTCTGTAGTTTTGAAAGCGTTTTGTAGGCTTTCAAAGTTTGCTTAGTCTTTCTTCAAAATTTATCAGGGATATCTCTATGACAGGGATGGGCAAATTGTGCCCTGTGAGCTGCATGTGGTCTCTGGACCACTTTTATGGACCCAAAAGCCACCCCCTCACCCCAAAAATTATTTTTACATTTTGACATGATTTGGGGACACTTTTTGCCCCAAGACCACAGAGAAAGTCTCCTCTATGCCTGAAGACATACAAAAATACCCCCAAACTAACCTTCGCAGATGCCCCAGAACTCCATACTACCCTCAAATACTTCCACTTTCCTATGTGATCCTTCTCAAAATGGTGAAAGAAGGCTGCAGAGGAAAATTGAGGCAATGATGCTTGCTGGGGGGAAGGGTTGCAAATCATGGCAGGGGAGGGGAAATCGGCCTCTGACACCTGTGTAGAGTTGTTCATGCATTCAAGAAATTCAGTAATAGCAGTCAGGCTTCCTGGAGAGAAACTGTTTCTTGGAGAGCTTAGGAAAGTTACTTTGCCAGAGTAGGTAGGGGCAGAATTCTCTTGGTGACTTTTAATTTGCCCTAACTACATTTTTGGGCATTACATAAGGAAGTATCCAATATTTCCGTAAGCAATGGTTTTGACAGATTGCAGAATGCTTCCAGAAGGCACTGCATAGAGCCCATCCACACCCATCCCAGCTTACTCATAGGACCACTAGCTGGTCATCTTTCTCTCCTCTCTCCTCTGGTCTCCATTTGCCATTGGTCTGTGGTGTCCTTATTTTAAGTCTATAAGGTCCAAAACATACTGCAGAAATAATCCAGTTTGAGACCGCTTTAATTGTCCTGGTTTAATGCTAGGGAATTCTGGAAACTGTAGTTTTGTGAGACACTTAGCCTTCTCTGTCAGAGAGTTGTGGGGCCACAGTAAATGATAATTCCCAGGATTCTCTAGCACAGAGCAGGGCAGTTAAAGCAATATGGATTATTTCTGCCATGTGTTTTGGACCTTTGTGAAACTTTTTATTCCACTGTTTCAAATAGGATATTGGCCTTGGAGTACAAATCCCAGAATCTCCCAGCCAGCATAGATAGTGGCCTTGTTGATTCAGGCATTGTACTTAAAAAAACCAACCCCAAAGCCTTTTCCTTTCTCACCTTTTCTTTTTTTCCTTCTTTCACATGTAGGAATTTTTTAAAGGTTAATAGATCACTGTAACTATGCTGTATTTGTGCAGTCAGCCAGCATATGAACTGAATCTGTATCCTACCAGTGGATCCACACGTTTTCCTCCTCTGCATGATGACCAACCATGATTTTTGGCCGTATGTGGGGGAGTGTTATGGTTGGTCATTTCTCACTGAAACTTAGAGAACAAAGTCACTAGAAGCCAAAAATGGTAGGAGATATTCCTAACCTGCCAACCAGAGCTTGGAAAAGTTTCTTTTCTGCAACTCCCCAAATGCCCTAGCCAGCACAGCTCCTTTTCCAAACTCTTGCTAAGCCCCAGAAAGCATGCCACATTTCTCTCTGTGACTCTCAGAATAGTAGAAATATACTTCAGTACTTCCTTCCCATTTTGAAGGTAAATGTATTGTGGGAAGACTACCTTTCCCTGCATTTTGAAGGAAAGGACAGCATCCAAAATTTAGCTGATTGCAAGGTTAGCCTAAATCTTTAGACCTCCAAGAGAAAAATGCATGTAACACAGATAGCTCACTCATTCCTGCCAGTCCCTCTGCACATGTTAGAAGGTTTTTGAGTGAGGAGAGAGCTTCCCATGCCTGTTACAACCTGGTTTCAAACTCTTTAGATTCTCTTGTGATGTGCCCTATACGCAGAGAGTTGCCCTCCTGCTTTGTGCAAGAATGACTACCTGAATTAAATGCAGGGTTGCCAGTAGCAAACACTGAGGTGACCTACAATATTCCAGATTCCTCTGTAGCACACAGGATTTCTCTTGGCAGACATAGAGAAAACAGTTCTCTAAAGGCGAAATCTCAGTCTGAGAAATGCTTTATGTGCTGAACATTTCTTGTATCATGTGCTGTTCTATTGGGAGTTTATGTTATGTGTTTTTTAATGTAAGCCACCCAAAGAACTATGACTATTGGGTCTAAATGTTTATTAAACCATTTTTGTTACCGTAGGCAGCCATTCCTACCTACATTCAGAGACATAGTTGTATTAGGCTGGAATGTATGTGTGTTGTGTACCTTCAAGTCATTTTCGATGTATGGTGACCCTAAGTCACAGGGTTTTCTTGGTACATTTCTTCAGAGCAGGGGCCAGCAACCTACGGCCCCCGGGCCGGTTCCAGCCCAGGTCACCGGACTTCCCAGCCCAGGTGGACCCCTGCCGCTGCCGGCATGGCGCGTGCGGCTGCCGTGCATGTCGCAGCCACCATTTTGATTTCCAAAATGGTGGCCGTGATGCGTTTGCGCATG